TGCTTTGATTACAACTTTTTTTTTCGTGATTCTCTGTTATTTTTTTCATAATATTAATGCGAATTTGATTCCTTTGAATGTCTTTACTATGTCTTTTTTTATTGTGCATTTTCTAAGGATTGTACCCCTAAAGAATTGAACTACGCGACGCCACTGTGCCGAATATCGTCCCAGATCCGTACGGTGCTTAAAATACGTTGTCGGCCACAAAAATTTCCATCCAGGTTTATTTCTGTTCGCGTTTCGCGGTTTTCATTTTCTGTTTTTAATAAATTTCCACATATTTTCATTTATTTTCCACCATTATTTCACTTATATATAGGGTATATCACTCAAAGGGCATAAATTCGATAAATATTTAATTAAATTTGTTTAGACCTGACGCAGATTCATCTGAAGTTTAAGTTTTCTATTTGTTTTCTAAGTTTAAGTATTTGTTACACGTAAAAAATAGTTTTTTACGTGTAACAAATAATTTTTTACACGTAATAATTTGATTCACTTTCACAATATTTGTAAGAAAATACGTAACGAAGTTTCACTTCAAAAATACAGCTGTATTTAGGGCCATAAAATATTAAATTATGAGTCTATTGAGCACTAGAAATTTCTATCCCTTAAAATAAGGAAGAATCAGTTCGCTTAAAGAATAAAAACAAATAAAAATTATTGTTTCCATAGCAACTGTTACAACTGCCTTATACAGGGTGTTTCAAAACAAATGCGAAAAACTTCAGGGGCGATTCCTTGTTCAAAATAAAGGGTAGTTTGCTTTATAAACGTTGGGTCAAAAGTCAACCATTAGGGAGATATCGCGGTACAAAGATGGCGGAAAAATAATGTTTTTATTTTTTATCTTGAAAACGAAAAGAGATAGACTAATGAAATTTTACGGAAGCATTACTGTTATGAAAACACACTTTCTGGTAATTTTTCACTTTTTAAATGAGTGGAAGGGGTGAAATAAACTACCCCTATCATTCTTGTTAATGAAATTTAAAGAAAAATCTTATCAAACACATGCAAAAAAATTAATTTGGATAGTTTAGTTCGTTTAGAAACTTTTTTATCTCTTGTATTTTTTTTATAAAACTCACCGATTTGAAATTAAAAAATAAAATGTAAAGCATTACATGTCAGGACAAAAAACATTTTTAGATAAAGAATCTAGTGGGCAGCTGTAATTTTTTTAGGAAAAAATCTAGTCGGCCGCTGTCACTTTTTAGGATGTTTCTAATATTGTTTTATTTGACCCTACTGCAATACGTTATTATCTAGATTATTATTATTATCATTATTATCACTAGATTCTTATCTAAAAATATGTTTAGTCCTGACATGTAATGCTTTACATTTTATTTTTTAATTTCAAATCGGTGAGTTTTATAAAAAAAATACAAGAGATAAAAAAGTTTCTAAACAAACTAAACTATCCAAATTAATTTTTATGCATGTGTTTGATAAGATTTTTCTTTAAATTTCGTTAACAAGAATGATAGGGGTAGTTTATTTCAACCCCTTCCATTCATTTTAAAAAGGTGAACAAATTACCAGAAAGTGTGTTTTCATAACAGTAATGCTTCCATAAAATTTCATTAATCTATCTCTTTTCGTTTTCAAGATAAAAAATAAGAACATTATTTTTCCGCCATCTTTGTACCGCGATATCTCCCTAATGTTTGACTTTTGACCCAACGTTTATGAAGCAAACTACCCTTTATTTTGAACAAGGAATCACCCCCTGAAGTTTTTGGCATTTGTTTTGAAATATCATATGCATATCAAAAATAGTAGATAAAATATTACTTTCAACTTCAAGGGTAGATTAAATGATACTTTAACAGCGAGAATAGGTTAAAAACTTCATTTCTTCTCCCACGTTTTTTAATTGCTTCCATTTTTGAATTTTTTTGTATTCCTTTTCATAAGTTATTCGGGATTTAAATGGAAGTAGTTTGGATATGGCGTTTGTCGCCTCAGCCTGAATATCTCTTGGTAATTTACTTATTTCGTTTTGAGCCCCAATCTCCAATTCAACCAGCAATCGACACGAAAGAGAATTAAAAAATATTGACTCAAAACTGATCACTAAAGAGACCCAACACAATATTTTTTCTACTCGTAATAAATTCCTTGAAATAATAATTTCTGAATATTTTTTAAAACGTAACTCGCTATGGAAGAAAATATTATTTTATACACGACGACAAAATGAGGAAAATGCATGTTTTTAAATAATGGTTTTAAAAAATAGTTCATATAATTACAAATTGAACAAAAAAAAATTGTTGATATCGGTTAAGAAATGCCTCTAATATAAAACAATTAAATATTGTTAATTTAAATGGCCGGGCAAACGCTCTATACTGCGCCTTGCCGCTGTGACGTCACCCGCCGTTCTTCTGGTTGAGTGGAGCCAGACGCGTGTTTATTTTACACAGTTTGCTTTTAAACGCTGTTGAATCCGAGTCAAAATTTTAGTTATTTGTGTTAATTAATACATAATTAGTAATTAGTGATATTTTTAAATAGTAATGGATGAGTGAAAACAGAAAAAAATGGTCCAAGGCCATGAGAAGAGATGCAAAGAAAAACGTTAAATTATCCTCTATTTTTACGATTTATTGTTGTGAAGATCATTTTGATGTAAGTTCATATATTTATGTATATTGTCTTACATAGGTATATGAAATTTGAATGTACAGGGTTTTTCATTATATTTTGACACCCACATACAGCCTTAACTGCAAGTTTTAGAATAAAACATTAAATAAAAAAGTTGCATGGTTTTTCATATACTCTCTTTTAAAATTAATTCTAGTTATACAGGGTATCTCAAAAAAGGTGGTGCAGAAAATTGTAGGTATTTTTCGCTTTTCAACTGTCAATATTTCGTAAACATTTGAAGATAGGTATAGGATATTATACATGAAATATATCTAGAATATCTAGAAATTTCCTAAGGATGCAAAAATATATAGGGGTTTTCACTTAAAAAAGTAACTTAATTTGGCGTAATTATGGGACACCTTGTATAATATTTTCATTACTGATAAACAATTTATTTCCTATAATTTCGTAAAAAAACAATCTTTGAAAATAACAAGGGCAAGGGGGTGTCAATATATAAAAAAAAACTTTCTTTTTCACGCTATGCTCTGGAGTTATTTTTCCACGTACTAAACAAATATTTTTGTCTCTTTTCACTTCTACATAACCTACAGCATTATCTCCATACGTCTCCCTACCTGACTGAAAAATAAGTTTATAACATTAATATTTATAACTATATAAAGTTCGTAACAGTAGGTACCTACTTATACTTAAATATGCCTCAGTACTACAAAGAATAAATGTTACATACCTCTCTGTTTTTTTCCTCGTAATTCAGCACCAATAAATTGGGAATTTGTATTTATAAAAGCAGTCAACATAAAAGCATCGACTTTTGGCAAGTTATCTGATTGTGCTTTTACAAACCCGGAATCTGCCATTACTTAAAAAATTCTCAGAACACACAACACATAAAAATAATAACTGCACAAAAGCAGCATAAAAGCTCCTTCAATCAATGCTAAAAGCAACAAAATGTCTTAGTACGCCACCTAAATACGTACATAAACGGAACACGTCTGGCTGCTGCTGGCCATCGCGCGTCGACGAGAACGGCAGGTGACGTCAGACCAATAGAATATAGTTTCAATTCTCGAGGCGTCGTTTGCGTTATCCATAGTATTTTAATGGCCCGTTTTATAAAATTGTGGTACTGCTTTCAAGAAAAAAGTTTTTTTTGCATTTACACATATTTATTCTAATAAATTGAACAGTTTCTGGCGAAAAATAAAATATATGCATCTTCCTCCATTTTATCGTCTTGTATAAAAAATAACTATTAACTGACACATAATTAATTATATATCGCTAAAATTTACACTATTCCTTTACTTATCTCACTGTTTATTAATACTAAAATCATATTTTTTTACACTTACTTAATTTTTTGTTAAAATCCTACCTCACATACATACAGCCTCGTATATTATATATCCGTTTCTGTTGTTAATAGTATTTTCGCCGCAATGCGTCATATTTTATTTATTTATAAAACCTTTTAGCACTGAAATAATCGACTGCTTGTCATTAACAATAAACAATTGTTGTTTTCGCCAAGCCAACCGTCCTAATTATTGCAATTTTAAGAGAGAAAAAACCCAATGGAAATTTATCGTTTAATGTATACGAATTGAAAATTGCAGAAAAAGCTTAGATTTTTTTATTTTTGAAATAAAGTAAAAAATTTTGATGGATTAACATGATAGACTTAATGGTAGAGTCTGTCAAGCTTCAGTTAAATTTTATCTGGAGGTTTTCCATCTTTATTCGTAAATAAATGGAAGATTTTAACTTTACTGATTGGCAAATGCAAGACCAAAGCTACTACTCCTTTGGTCTTGGACTTATCATGTATGGCTGAATTATATATTTATTTTTTACACAAAAATGAAGAAGGAAATTAAAGATAAAGGACTATAGTATATCCGTATTGTAGCAATGAGGCAACTTCTTTATTTCTAAGATTTTGATGGTCAAACGTCAACAAAATATTCCTTACGTTTGGACTCAATCTTCTCGTAAATAAAGACATAATTTAAAATTCTGTTACAATACGGAAATAGATTTTGATTATAGTGATATATAATTTATATGGTTTTGTAACAAATTGCTCGGTATTTTATGGCAAATGCTGAAGCTCTGAAAACCTTAATCAAGCCTTAATCAAAGCACGTGTGTTTTGAATTTTGGGTGTGGCTTAACACGACAGGATCGGGCTAAGCCTTAGGCAGGTTTCTGAAATATAATTTATATTTCCTTCGGCCACACACCCGTTTTACCCGACCACTGAGAGCGACCCGAACATTACAGCGTAATAGACTCTTAAAACTAGACTTACCTTAGGTGAAATTTAGAAAAATACTTAAAGATATCTTCTTTTGTTACAGATTACGTATTTCGAACTGAAGAAACAAGAAGAAGCAAGAAGATAGAAACCAAAACAGACGCAAGCATCAATCAAGCAGCGAAGCCACTCGAAGTCAAGGCGTCGTAGAATCAATCAATGTTCTGTTAAATCGTGTCTTTCAAGTTTAGTCCAGCGAATACACATATAATATTTATACATACATAGAATAACGTAGAAAACACGTCTCATCATGCATATTGAAGTACAAGTAGCGCTGAATTTCGTGATATCGTACCTGTACAACAAACTTCCCAGACGGAGAGTCAACATATTCGGCGAAGAGTTGGAAAAAGCTTTAAAAGACAAATTCCAAGTGAGTACCAAGAATAGTCTACGAGCCCTAACAACTATATGATGGAACAAGGTCATATTTTGGAATTATTGCCCTGGTTTTTCAAAATGACTGAAAAATATATGTTTAATTTTTTAAATATAAACATAGCCATATATCCTAAACAACTTGGCAATATTTTTATGAATTTGTAAATCAATCCATATTTACAGTAACAGATTTTGTTCATAAAAGGACAAATTTGCTGACAACTAAATGTTGGGACAAGTATTTTTAAATAATTAATATCATCATAGGCGGCTTTGCTATAAACGTCACAAATGTCGCAAACTGGTTACTTCAGCATTGACAGCTTGTAAGTGACTCGATACTTTGAGTAGTGAGATTTCCTGTAAGTAATTGTAATTTTTTTAATTCTCCATTTTGTTAATTTAATTCAATGTAATGGTCCGTGGAAAAGCTACAAATCAAAAACTACGCGAAATTATCATCCGTCAATACAGTACGGGAAAAACAATTCGAAAAATTTCTGATGGTTTAAGTATTCCAAAAACCACGGTCTTTAATATAATAAAAAAATGCGGCGAATCTGCCAACGTAGACGTTTGAGGTAAAAATTCGGGGGGTAATAAATACGAAATTTAGTAAAAATTTGCAAGTCTGCGAGAAGAAGTACTCTTCGCGAAGTAACAGTTAAATGGAATACTGTAACTGGTTTAAATATATCAACAGAATGTTGCCGAAAATATATCCATAAATGTGGTCTGGGATTTTACAAGGTAAACTTTTAATTTGTGTGAATAATCAATTACCTGAAGATTATTGATACAAATTCTTATTTAGGCCAAAGAAAAACCGCTACTGAGAGAAATTTAAAAGAAAAATCGCTACAATTGGGGAAATCTAAATTATCGTGGACACAAAATGATTGGAATAAGGTCATATTTAGTGATGAGTCTAAATTTGATGTTTGCGTTGGAGATGATCGAAAACGAATAATACGAAATAAAACAGAAGCCTTTCATAAAGATTGCTTAAAGAGGGTTGTTAAATTTCCTAAGGGGATTATGGTTTGGGGTTGCATTTCAACAAGAGGTTTGGGCAAATTAAATTTTATAGATGGCACTGTTAACGCCCAAAAGTATCAACATATACTTGAGACCTCACTTTTGCTAGTGCTCAAGAATTGTTTCCAAACGAAGACTGTACTTTCCAACAAGATGGAGCATCGTGCCATTCAGCAAAATCAACTAAAAATTAGTTCGGTAATAATAATATAAAAGTTCTATCCCGTCCTACAAGTAATCCGGACCTCAATGTTATAGAAACTGTGTGGCATAAAATGAAGCAATATTTAAGAAACCACCCTCAATGAACAATTTTTGATTTGCGGATAAATCTGCAGGAAATTTAGGATAATTTTTCTCCTCAAATGTGCCAATCTTTGGTAAATACAATGCCATTAAGAGTTCAGGCAGTTGTTAAGGCGAAAGGTGATGTAACTCCGTATGAAACAAATTTTTTGTTGTGCTGTCCCAATATATAGTTGTCAGCAAATTTGGCTTGATTTTGGCAATTAAGCTATTATCAAAAGTAATTTGTTTGCAAAGTTATAAAAATATAGTAAAATTGTCTAGATCATATTGTAATGTTTGAATTTAGAATAATAAACAAAATAAATTGAGTCGTTTTAACAAATTACTATATTTATTGCAAAAAAAGATCTTGTCCCAACATATAGTTGTTAGGGCTCGTATATCTGTAGCCCAGAAACAAAGGACACTCACCGACAAAAAAAACGGCCACTAAAAGCTAGTCCCAATTTCAAAGTTGGATTTCTCACGAACCACTCATTAGATCTTGATGATTTTTTTTAAGTTGTAAATTAGTTCCCTCTTAACGGATGCTACGTCAGAAATTTTTATTCCGAATTTATTTTGAGCATATATACAGGGCACAACAATAAGACATGGTTTTTTGCCCGTACTTTGTAACACCCTGTAGGGTGCAGCAGCTGTCGTAGCTATTGCTAAATCAAATCACATTGTAGCCTCATCTTTTATGAGCATTTTGTTTTTTTAATCACGACATTATCTCTGTTTGTGTTGGAGATACGCTGCTTTAAAACGAACGTCTCGGAAAAATGCTTCGCAGCCAAAACCGCGATTCATCCTTGAAAAGGACTTTAGTCCATTGCTGAATATCCCAATTCACATGCAAACGTGCAAACTGAAGACGTGCTCGACGATATCTTGCAAGTAGCTGGGGTCCTGTGGCAGGTCTCCTTGCAGACAAGTTGTTTTCTTTTAGTCTTCGTCGGATTGTTCTCGACGGGATTGTTCTCGACTCGGATTGTTCTCGACGATTGTCTTCGTCTGAGGTCTACGCACGGCTTGTAGCAGATGTTGATTCTGAAACGTAACAACTGTAATTCTACGATTTCCTAAAGTATTCAGGACAATAAAGCGGTCGTCAATTGCATTTGTCTTCCGTTTTCTTCTGGAACCCACACGACTGGTGGAATTTCTCGTTTCCATATACCGATTCCAGGCATTCTGGACTGTTGTTCGAGGTATACGCAGGGTGTCGGACAGATAACGTTTTCGGCCATCTTCAATTAAAGCCACAATACGAGCAATATCCGTCACAGATAATGGCATTTTTTAATTTGACAGTCGTATCGAATGAATAAAGGTAGTTATTCTTTCTTGATTCTATCGTTGCCTTGGATGAATATCAAGCTATAGTCTAAAAGCCAAAAAGACTCATGGCTTGATTGGTTATCTTTCTCCATTTGTTTCTGTCTTTCGCCTTTATTCTCCACCCATCCACTCTTATCCTTCTCAAGTCCTCTTCAACATCCTTTTTCCATCTGGTTCCTGGTCTACCTCTCCTTCTCTTTCCACCTATTTCACGTTTCATTATCATACTAGGAATACTTGCTTCGGTCATTCTTTCGATGTGTCCCAGCCATCTCAGTCTTCGTGCTCTTGCTACTCCAGTTATACTCGGTGCCCGATAGAGTTGATTTAATTCTTCATTTGTTCTTCTGGTTCATATGTTGTCTATCTCCTTTCCTCCAAAAATCTCCCTCAGTATTTTTCTTTCCCAAATCTCTAGCCTCGAACTTTCCGTTACATTGAACGTCCACGTTTCATATTCATACAGCAGTATTGATCGTATCATTGTTTGGAACATTCTCATTTTTAAACTTCTAGAGATGTTCTGGTATCTTAAACTTTATATTATCTCCTTTCCAGGGTCACTGGTATCCCGACAAACCCTTCAAAGGCTCGGCTTTCCGATGCCTAAAAACGGGAGATCCCATCGACAAGGTCCTGGAAAGGGCTGCCAGAGAGAGCGGAGTGCCCATCCAGGACATCCTAGAGAACCTCCCGCAAGAACTGGCAGTGTGGGTGGACCCTGGCGAAGTTAGCTACAGAATCGGAGAGAAGGGAGCTGTCAAAATACTGTTCAGCGACAAGGCGGACCCTCAAGAGGACCATTCGGCTGATAGGTGAGCACAGTGAAACCTTAAAACAGCAACAAATATGACGTTAATTAAAATTCTATCATAGATAAAAAAAAAGAAGTTTAGATTTGAAAGTGCCCATAAGGATAATGTAAATACTATTTGGCGCTGTTCATACAACGGTCGCGACCCAAAGCTTTTCTTAATGTCAATAATAAAAAGGTTTTTCCGTTTTTCCTCTTGTAAAGACAGTCCTGGGATATACTGTATAATATAATCTCAAGCGAAACTAACAAAAGTGTGTTAAATATGGAAGCTAGACGTAGTTGTTTTAATAATAATTTGACTTCAGTGATATTTTTTCTTCTAGAGAGGTGACCAAAACCTTCAACCCGGAAGCTCAGTGCTTCAGGCCGATTGACTCTGTCAGCTGCAGCCTGAACAACCTCAGCTTGTCGCCCAGCAAGTCATTGACGCCCTTTGCCAACGTAGCTCCTGGGAATCCAGTAGAACCCCAGATCCAGGGACAGGCGGTTACTCAGAATGGTGCTCAGGTAAGAGGCTATGATTCCATATTCATCATTATGATTATCAATAGTTTGGACTAAATTAGGTTCGTTTCCGTCTATTTTCAATCCTTTGTTGGTTCAGTCCAGTTGACGGAAGACTTCTTCTAGTGTTGTTCTAAACAGCTTTGGGGATATTGCGTCTCCTGTTGCAAAATCTAAATTATTAATAAAAAATGCATAATGTTTTTTATGTATTTAACAAATATATTTAATAGGTAGCAGCGTGTGCTATCGAAAAAAACAAGTATAAATAACATATTTTTTGTAGATAATAGCACTATTTCTGTTAATTATATGGACGTATGTAAAAAAATGCAACGCGCTTAGTACTTTTTGCATGCAACACCAATTTTGCTTGTTCATTTCGTTGATATTTTTATAACAGCTAGTTATTATATTTGAAGCTTTAAAAGAATCAGCTGTTATTATGTCATTTTTTAATCCTACTGTAAAAAATATCAATAAAAACTTAAATGAAATCTCAAATCCTTTTATAATTCAACTATAGTAATCAATATCGTTGAAAAAACAACAGAATACAATATACCTCTACATTTGGCCTTTGTAGACTACCAAAAAGCCTTTGACAGCATCGAAACCTGGTCATTTCTAGCTGCAATGAAGGACGCGAGAATTGATTCCAGATATTATTCCATTATTAAAAATATCTATGATAGTGCAACCTTCCAAGTTAAATTAGATGATGACCTCAAAACAGAAAAAATACCACTCGGCAAGGGCGTGAGACAAGGAGATACCATCTCTCCCAAGTTATTTACACTGGCACTGGAAAATGTCTTCAAGAAATTAGAATGGGAAAATAGAGGTCTAAACATCGATGGGGTACACCTTAGCCATCTGAGGTTCGCAGACGATATTGTCTTGCTGAGCACCGACATTAAAGAACTAAACACCGTGCTAAATGAGCTAAATGATGAATCCCAGAAAATTGGCCTTAAAATGAACTTGAAGAAGACCAAGGTAATGAGCAACAATATCCATAACATTACCGTTGACAACGTTATTATTGAAAACGTAGACCATTATATATATTTAGGTCATAAAATCAAGCTGGGCAAGGAAAACCAAAATACGGAGATCAAACGCAGGATCCATTTGGCATGGGTAATATTTGGAAATATGAGCAATATTTTCAAGGATAAAAAGGTCCATGAACCTAAAGAAAAAGGCTTACGACAGCTGCATTCTACCTGTGCTTACGTATGGCTTAGAGACTATTGCAACTACCCGAAAAACAGCAGAACAACTACGAGTAGCACAAAGAGCCAAGGAAAGAATTATGTTAGGAGTCACCATTAGGGAAAAAATAGGGAATACCCACATACGTCAAAAAACAAAATTAATAGATGTCGTTAAAAGAGTGGCAAGTCTGAAGTGGCAATGGATAGGACATGTGGCAAGACAGGATCCAGACCGATGGCCCCAAAAAGTAATCCTATGGAGACCTAGGGGAACAACAAGAAGTGTGGGCCGACCAAAAAAGAGATGGGTCGATGGCGTCAGGGCAATGGCGGGAAGACAATGGATAAGATTGGCTAGAGATCGCGAAGCATGGAAAAACCTAGAAGAGGCCTATATCCAACACTGGATGGAACCAGGCTGAGAAAGAAGAAAGAAGAAGAAGAATCAATATCAAATAAACTTTTAGTCGCGTGATTAAGCGAAGCTTGACCGGTACAGCGTTGTTCACTTTTACATATTTTCTTTTAATCGAAATATATTAGGAAACAAAAATAAATTAATTATAAATATATAAACAGTTATTATTTACATTAACGAAACTCACCTTCTTAACAGAACTTAAGGGACATAAAGGGCCATTGCTACCGCTTTCCCGTTCAAAATATTCTAATAAAGTTGCGATGAGTTTTTTACGGCTATTAAGCTATATTGTACACTAAAATAGATTCCAAAAAGAACAATATTCGACTGCAAGGTAAACATTTTTAAGCTTAAAGTATCATAACACTATTTCTTTAAACCAAAAGCTCGTCGTAATACAAAATTAAAGTATCAAAACGAACGACAATGTCCGGAAATAGCAGTGGCGGACTAAGCATGTCGGGGGCCCGAGACGGCAAAGCTAAATGTGGCCCCCGGCCTGCAAATTTTGTAAAGATTGAATGACTTGAATAATGGTTGAGAAATTTCAAGTATTTATATACTGTACCTACTAATTGTAATAAAAATCGATATATATATATATATATATATATATATATATATATATATATATATATATATATATATATATATATATATATATATATATATATATATATATATATATATATATATATATATATATATATATATATATATATATATAATAAGGGTGTCACAGAAATAAGTGCATTTTAAGGGTGGTAGATAAAAGAAACATATTTTCTTTATCGTTTTTCAATAAGTCCAAAATAACGGAGTTATTTTACTACGAAAATTTGCTAAAATTTTGAGAACCACTGCATCTTTTCTGGATTTTCTTCCTTGTAAATTTAATCTAATACCTAAGTTGTCATAGTAACAAGAAATTTTTTTTTTTTAACTAAAAACTAAAAAAATTCCCCAAAAATTTTTTGGGAAGTTTTCAATTTTTTTTCGCGAAAAAAACCACATATGCGTGTTTCTGGGGTTGAACTTTACTACCAGTGAAAATACTAGCACTTATTTCTGGGACGCACCGAGAGGAAAAGACAGACACAGATTACAAGAGGAAAAACTTTTTAATTATTGACTTTTTGAAAAAAATGCGTTCTTCATAAGAATTTTTGCTTGTTGTAAAATGGCGTTTATTATTTCCTAAATATCCATACCGTTTTAGAAAAATTAAAAAAGTATAAAAATGTAGTTTTTTAACGTAATTTTTTCCCCAAAAAAATCCTAAAAAACTAAAAGTCCTAAAAATTAAAAGGTTATAAATCGTTATAATTAATTTTGATTAACGTCATATTTTTTGATGTTAAAGTATCACATTTTCCGATAACTATTATCACCCTTTCCGTAGCATTGAACTAAATAAATTTTGTGCTTCTTTAATATTTTAAAACAGCAAAAAATATAACTTTGATTAAAATTCTGTTAATAATAATCTATCAAAAAATGAGAACGACATTATATTACCATAGAAAGGCGTTTTATTTTTACTAGTTCAAAAATTTAACTACATTTTCATGTTTTTTTTTTATTTTTCTCTAAAACTCAATGTCTAAAACGGTATGGAAATTTGGAAAAGTATAAACAGGAATTACCATTTTAGAACAAGCAAAAATTTTTTATGAAGACAGTCCGCGGACATCCTATAGATATAAACATGTTATTCATCGGCAGTGCCGTTTTTATGTAGGGACCCGACGGGCCCCGACCAGAGGATTAAGGGCCCCAGCTCCAAAAAGGCCTCAAAAACGATAACATCAATTTTTTTAAAGCTTATAATAATACATTTAAATTGAAAAACGAATGCAATTTGACGTAATAAAACAATCCCCGAGCGAATGTTTGCATATATTTAATGGCAATTTATGATGACAAAGTGATGGGAATACCGGTTCCACATATAAGCCGCGTTACTTTCGCGACCGTTCCAGGTAAACACCGCGATTTTGTAAGGGACCCTTTACAAAATCGCGGTATACTCCTATATAGGTCCAAGAATAAATAATAATTATTCGAATATAAAAAATAATAATTATTCGATATTCTAAAGAAAGAAAATTACCCCTTGATTTAATTTCGTAAATAGAAAAATATCATTGACAATTACTGGGGCCTAATATTTGATAATTAAGTAAATATCTGCTTCCATTTGTACTGTTTAGTTTGCGTATACTTATGGTTTGCATACTCTAACTACAAATTGCTTTATAACTACTGAACACATATTGGCCTGTTTGCCAGTTGAATAAAAATTACTTATTAAGATTTGGAGGCCCCCTAGAAGAAGGGGCCCGGGGCGGACCGCCCCTTCCGCCCCCCCCCTTAGTCCGCCACTGGGAAATAGATAAATAAATGTGGCAACTTGACATTTTCCTTAGACAAGGAAAGAGAGGGGACAGGTAACACGGCAGCTGAAAATGAGGCAAGTTGTCACCACGCGAAATTCTCCAATGGCGTAGCATCAGAAATTAGCTTGTACCTAGACGGTACAAAATATTTATTAAAACGTAAACTAATATCGTTCATTTTTGAGTAATGCATATACAATTTTGTATTTTATAGTCTCACCTTTATAATATTAGAATATCTAAGTCGATAATGCAAAATCTATTTAACAGTCACAGTGGACTGATTATCAAGACAATTATTTATTTATTAACGTGTGTATAATGTATAATTAAATAAAAAATAATGTAATAACATATATTTTAAACATGTATATACATATATACTGTATGATCGAAAAAAACGGCGTCTTGTTTGTTTGGAAATGACAATTTCACAAATGAATATTAAAAATTACATTATTCATTGAATCCGTAAGCAAGTGTGAAGGGAATTGACTAGATTCATTATTATACCGTATAATCGAAAAAAAAAACGACGTCCAGTTGGCTTGTAAATTACGATTCATGACATTCCCCATATAATTCTACATATAAAATGACATAAAAACTATACAAAACGACATCGAAAAAAGACGGCGTCAGCGATGGCTATGAAGTGAAGATCGCTGTCATTTTATATGTAAAATTATATAGGGAATGTCGTCGATCGTCATTTACAAGCCAACTGGACGTCGTTTTTTTTCCGACCATACGGTATAATAATGAATCTAGATATTACCCTTCACACTTGCGTACGGATTCAATGAATAATGTAATTTTTAATATTTGTTACCTTCAATCATAAGAATATCTTATTTTTAAGAATATCCGAATTTATCCATAAAAAAATAAAACAATTCTTGAAGCTTTGTGTTATTTTATTTATTTTTAAATTTTTATTAATTACTCACTCAAACTATTATTATACACTTAAATTAGCAAATTTTTTGAAAGAATATTTAAAAAAAAGTATGTAGTAACAAGTAGCCCACCACAAGTTTGTCCACCCCCAACAAATCTTGGCAGGTAAATTTAAATTTTATATAACAACTATACATATAGATTTTTTATCACTAGAATTTTTCATTTTTTTATAGTTTACAATTATTTTACATATTTGATAACAATACTTTATACATTTTTTTACATGTAAAATATATAAAAAAACTGTTTATTGCAGAAATTGTATTTCTCTGATTATAATTCCCTACGCCACTGGTGAAATCCGGTCTGAGTAGCAATATTTATAGTTTCAAACATTAATTATAATACAGGATATTGAAAATACTACTTGGAATTATTAAAAATAGTTTGGTTTGGATGTGGTACAAGACATATTAAAAGCATTTTACATATTTTTACTGCTATAATGAAAAAAATTTACATTTTATGACCACATAACAAAAGTTGTGTATCGATTTTTACCTGTGAAATGTAATTCCAGCCATTTTTTTCTCGCTTCGGCCTTTGCAGCCATACGCTGAATATCTCGCCATACTAAACAACACAGTTTATAAATTTAAAATAAAACAGTTGTCACAAAAAACATAAAAATTCGCTCGGTGTCACCTCGAAATCTTGTCACCAAAGTATGGCCGCCGATCAAATTTTGGCCTGACTAACCGATCACGGGAGAATATGCGTGTTACCCGTCCCCTCTCTTTCCTTGTCTAAGACATTTTCAGAGCAGAGCTACCACCTGAATCCCCAGCGGGAAATTTAAATTCCAGATAGTCTGGCTACTGTTTATTTTGTATCAAATATATTTTTAAATTCCGTTTTATGTTGTCGTTTCGAGCCTTTTTTAGAAAATAAAACGCCAATAATTCAGAATACGCCACAAATAATGTACCCACAGACTTTTCTCTTGTCATTTTATAAAATTCGTCAACAAGCAAAAGAAAAAAGAGAACGAAAATTTTCTGCGGGAGATTTTAAAAATAAAAGGAACGCTCAAGTATCTAAAAATACTTCTTCCATTCTTCCGGGCCTTTACCGCATACAAAAACCAGTCGATAACATGAAAGAAATGTTTTAATGGAGCAATAGCTCGGAGGGATTAATGCAAAAGCTTTTATTATTTCCGCTTCACGCGGCTTTTTCGCGTCCTCCGCTCCGTTTTAAAGCGTTTTTTAAGCGCCCCCTCTTATTATACTCTCGAACTTCGTTACCACCAAAAAAGAGAAACGAAAAATTATTTTTAATTTAATTATAAAATTGCCTATGGAGATTCTAAAAGAAATGTCTAAAAGTCTTTTGACCAAAAAGACCCAGATAATAGATGTCATCAACAGAGTCAAATCCCTCAAATGGCAATGGTCAGGACACCTGGCAAGAAGGACGGACAACAGATGGGCCACAAAAATTACAGCATGGTACCCACGAGGAATTAACAGACCTAGAAGAAGACCGAACCTGAGATGGGACCATTCTCTATTTTTTATATTAGTATATTAATCTTTATTATATTTTCTTTATCGTGTGTTTTGTTGTTTCAGCCTTTGCCCAACAATCATCTCAACTCAAACTCAACGGCTCCGTCCCCGACATCCATGGGCAACTCGTTCAAAGGCTCGCCATCGCCGGTACCCACGTTCATACCCAGAACCACCACGCCACTGACCTTCACCACCGCTACATTTGCTCAGACGAAATTCGGCAGTACCAAGCTCAAGACCAGCAGCAAAAGAGCCAACAGGTTGGTAGAAGATTATTTTGTCTTTTTGATTAGAACAGTTAATGTACAGAGTGTATTATTTTTGCTTGATATATACCAAGGTGGTGGTGTAACGTCTTTGGAAAATACGAAATCACAGGCAACTATATTTGAATAAGCCGATTTTAAGTAATTTAAGAAAAACTATTTTAAATTAAAACTGAATAGGTAACAATGAAAAACCTACTTTAACACCCTGTAGCTACGAAACAAAGCAGAATCGGACCTATGTTGATATGTAAAATAAATCTTATTTTTACGTGAGGAATCTCCCCACGAGAGATGGCACATGTTTTTTGAAACACACTTTATTTTTATTATAATAATATATTCAAAAAAAAATTCCAAAAATTTATTTTTTGTTTTTCTTTACAGAATGTCACCAACGGAATTCTCCAACTACATCAAACAGCGCGCCATGCAACAACAAATGCACCAGCAACCCCCTCACCATTCCCCCGGCAGTCGAGCTTTGTCCCCCGACCCCTCCGCCTACTACTTCCCGCCGCACGGCCACTACCCCCCTCCCTTTCCCCCCAGGTCGGTGTTCGAGTCTTCCAACCAGTTCCTGAGTCCCGGGGACCTCTATCCTCCTACCAAGAGCAACCCGTTGAGTTTTCCCTTCGATAACTCCCCCTTCGGACCGTTCTACCCCAACAACAACAATACCGGCGGTATGAACGTGCCTCCTAGCGGCGGAATGGGGTCCAACGGCGCGCAGAACAAGGACTTGCTGGAGAACAACTGGGGTTATGGAAATGCAGGGCAGTACCAACACTTGCTGGTGGCTAATTGAGGTGGGAGCTAGGTGGGAGGAGGCGTCTTGCGATTCTATTGTGTCTTTCTGCGAGGATGGGAGTTTTTTAGTGGTACTATGAAGGTTATGTCTATGAAGATAACGTCTAAATCTAGTTACAAGCTAGAAATCACAATATGTCTTAAAGACTCTTGTTGATTTTTTTTGTCCCTATAGAAAACTGGGAAGATTATTATACAGGGTTTCCTTTTTGTAGAAACATTTTAAACCTCCCAAAATAACTCTAAAAGATTACCTGATTAAATAATAAAAAAACTCTTAAAATGATGACGTTATCTTTGTAGATATTGAGTCAAATTTGACAGCTCTGTATTGGGTTTGCTTCTGTAACTTATACAGTACTGCTCAAAAAAAAATACCTGAAAGGAATGAAACCAAAACCTAATTGAGAACTGTTAAATTTTTCAACTCCACATTATTTGTGAAAATGCTGTTTTGTGTGTTTCTACACTGACTTAAAATTTTTGGATTTTATTTTTTTTAGAACAAAAAATATATAACTTTAAAATACATTCAGCAGGTCTGTCTAGAAAAAAGACGATGTCGTAGTAAGCGTAGTATGGTTATATAATACATCACAGAAATCAAGAAACATACAAAACAGTGTTAGTTTTTTTTTGTTTCTAACAAACCGAATGTACAAAAAAAAATAGGAAAAAAAGAAAAACTATATATAGTTCTTGTGGATTTTTATATTTGTCTTAGTTGAATAGTTCCTACTTTTTATATTTGCTTAAATTTGATATTTTTATTTGTTATTTTTTTACGTAAATTAATCGAGAGTAACGCAAGTATAGTAATTGAGTAAAATTTGTAAATATATATAGTATAATAAGTTTCTTTATAACGGGAAAAAATGTCGATGCAGTAACCAGTAAAAAAAAGTTCCACTTCTCTTGGAACCAGTGATCTCTCTAATATTAAAATAATTTGTACATAATGTAACTTATAATTATTTATACATAACATATACATATTTTTGTAGGAAAAAAATCTAGTATTTCTCACCAAGGTAAAAATGAAAAAATATACCGGAAAAAGTGAAAACGATGGGAGAAAACAAATATATTTTTCTTAATGGGGAAATTTTTGTCGAGTCCTAACCTCGTCTAGATAGATAGTCTAGATGGAAGTTTCATTAAATAATACGGGTCGCACACTGGCAGACTTGTTGTATGTTTGATACGTCCATCTTGCTTGATTTTGAACTTATACAATTTTTAACTCAAAATTAATCATTATTGTAAGGAATTTTTTGATCTAATAAAAACGTAATGTCGTATGTCGTAATAGACGAGAAATACTGTATACAGGGTGGGTCTTAAATAAGTGCCCACAGTAGATCTCGATAAAAGAAACATACTTTCTCTTTGTCCTTTTTCAAATAAGTAATTATAAAAAAGAGTTATTTTACTTTGAAAATTTTTAATAAAATTGTTTTTTGCTTAAATTTTGGGAACCACTAATTTTTTTAGGTTGTATTTCCTCTAAATATAATCTACTACCTATGTTGCCATATCATCAAGATATTATATTTTTAAACTGACAAAAAACTAAATTTTTTTTCGAAAATTACAAAATATTCAATATTTTTTTTTTTTGGAGAAAAAAGTTCACAGCATGTTCTTGACATCGAAGTATACCATCCCTAAAAATATGTGCACTTATTTAAGACTCACCCTATAAATATCGTTGAAGTTCTTGAAATATAACAAAATATTTGAAAACATTTTTAAGATTACAGTATTAAAATTATATATTTCCAACAAAAAAAGATTTTTTTAACTACACCAAAAAATAAAACGTTTCATCCACTGAATAAAATACTCAAATATAAGTATAATATCAAGTTTTGACACAATATTTTCCAGATTTATATGCCTTGCAGAAAATTAACTACGACTGTAATTATCAATGTATAGAACTTCAAAAAGTGGACAAAATAATGGTTTAAACCTTACCATGATACGATCATTTTTTCAAGGAATATGTTACTAAATCGGAAATGTTTGCCGGTGTGTGGCCCCCCTTATAAGTTCGAACTCTTTAAAATGTTTTTTTTTGCGAGAAAAAAAATCGTAGTAGGTTATTTTTTATACGAGAACATCACCAAAAACTTTTATATTATAGGAAGGAGAAAGACAGTAGTAGAATCATTAGAATCGCTTCTGATATTGATCAGAAATCGATCACGACTATTTAAGCCCAAGTAACGGACATGAAAATGATAGAAATCATCCAAAATAGCTTGATATATTATAATTAAAATATACTTTTAGATTTTTATAAAGAAGAAAGTAGGAATTTAGAAAGTTTATATATAAATATATAGATGTTTCTTACTTTATATATGGTGTTTACAGTATTCGATAAATAGTGTAGCCTATAAATAGTGCGTTTCCAGTGAAGATTTTTTATATATCGTATGTATTTTTTTTATTTTTGTATATGAGAACGAGATATATATGATTAACATGATAGAAAAAGCTCAAGCTATCATCTAGTCCCCAAAATGTTATAATCCTTTTTTTATCGATTAATGTGTAGGGCATATCAATATAAAATACTATATAAATATATGATTATACTTAGGGAAAACTTAGATACCAGAAATATACTTAGTAACGAAAACAAAGAAGATCGCATTAATATTATGCTTACAGAAACCAAAAAAAAATCTTGGTTTCTGTAAATCAATCTTCTAGGTCTGAATATGATGAAATTTCATAGAAAAAAAAAATAGTTCATGACGTTATAACCTTATACTAAATACCTATGATCTGTTTTAAGATTGTGATATATCTTTTTTATTCGTGCTTTATTTTTTTTAACTTCGTAAACTCATGAACTGTTTTTTTTCTAATCTGAGGCAAATATTTAGGTTTTTTACATCTTTTAGGGGTTGAAATCACTCAAAATTAGTTAAATAATTTTGTCCTTTATATGTTTTACCCCACCTTCTCCTATTATTGATTAGTTGTTTTGCCTCAAAACCCAGTATTGCCCTATATGTATAATATAGAGCATGGTCTAGATAGATGTGCTTTTTGTTTCTTATTATTATTAATTTTAAGAAAAGATACGCTATTTTTTACTGCTTTGATTTTTTGTTACTTTTTCACCTTTATTTTTTACTTTGTATTTGTTGAATTTCATATTAATATATATATTTTGTTATGACTTGTTTTTTGGTTTTTATTTCTTTTGTTCTTTTCCTTTTTTTTTCGTTTAGCCTTTTGTTTTTATTCTGTGTACCTGATATGTATATTGTACTATATAATTCCTTTAGTGGCTATGGTAATTCATGGTTTTGGATCCACAGATATTAAAAAAGTTTTGTTAGAAGATAAATATTGTTGTTTACACTAAACAGACAAAAATGTACCTTAATACCAACTTAATTTACTTTACTGTAACGAAGGCACCCATTTAATGTCTATGGATCTTGAAGCCAAAGACTTACTGATATCTTCAACGAAAAAATCAAAATTAAATCTTTAAACGCTTATTTAGAATCCTGACACATGTCAATAACTCGCCAAAAAAGACATATTGAAAAAACTAAATCAGATAATGTAGTATTGCTATAAATATTGCTATTTTCTTATTATGAAAAGTTGAAAGCATTATGATATATAATATACAGAAAGCTCAAATCTTTAGAGAAAAAACTGCAATAAATAATACCAGCAGAGCCACCAAAGACCCTGGAGAACTTTAGTACACCCTGGTATATCATGTACAAAGTAGAAAAAAATAAAATCTATAGAAAAAATTAAAATAAAACGCTTACGATTGGCGAGTGAAGACATTGTCATGGAATATTTTCCCTATGGATAGATATTGAGAAGTCTATCGTTGTGATTGAAAAATGCTTTACATTTTACTACTCAGGAGTGACCTAGGTAAATTTAAAATGATCATGAAGTAAGAAAATGCGCCCGAACGGTAGTATCCACGTTCTTTTTGGGGGAATTTCTAGGAAAATATTGGTTGGAAAAACATATTCTCGTTCATTTTGGGTTTTAAAATAAACAAAAAGTAGTATTTGTGCTATAGAAGTTTTGAAAGATGAAGAAAATACTGTTTCTTGGTTCTGTAAGTTACTTTAGTTTTTTTTTGAATATTCAGAATGAACTAGAATTTATTTTGACCACCCTGTAACTATGGTGCGGTCTCCCAAAAAATCTATAATGCAATAACTTTGAGACTAATCCGATCAGTGAAAACACCAAGCAGAAAATAGTTGAAAACTTCAGAAAAATAAATAAATACAGAGAGACTCTAACATGTAACATTCAACATAAAGAAAAATACTTAAAAAAAAGATATTTTAGTACTCCTCTATGTTTACTTATTTCTCTAAGGTTAGAAATAAAAAAAAATTACTATTTTCTATGTTGGTGTTTCCCTGTTTTCGGCACAAAAAATTATATAATTCTTCTGTGTTTGTACGTGGTAGTTTTTAATCCTTAAAAACGAGTAGCTTTTTTACATTATATTTCTTACTAAAACCAGTACTACATACTATACGTATAGATTTAGTCAAAAGTATATGTATTACCAGTTAGGTCAATGTAATCCCGAGAAGGATAAAAAGTTGAGTTTTCTCCATAACAGTATTTCTTTGTTTCAAAACAGTGATTGAATTGCGTCTTTATTAAATCGAATTGATATAAAAATACTTTATATGGTTAGAAGTTATTAGAAAAAGAAATTAACTGTTTTAATTTTAAGTGTTTATTTATAATAAAACACTTAAAATATAGTTAATAATTAGATATTCCCAGAGTAATGTGGAGATATTAACTTCTTTTAAATGCCTATGTAACTGTTATTTCTAAAAAATAACAGCTTAAAATAACAGGTTTCTTAACAGTCAAAACAACAAAAAGAAACAAGAAATACAAGTTAAAAATAACAGTTAAAATAATCTGTTACTGTTATGTAAAATAACAGCTTACAATAACAGGTTCCTTGACGGTCAAAACAAAAATAAAACTAGAAAATACTACACAAGTTAAAAATAACAGTTAAAAATCACTTGTTACTGTTAGTTATAAATAGCTGCTTAAAATAACAGGTTTCCTGGCAGTAAAAACATAGGAAAGAAACAAGTAAATGCTACATAAGTTAAAAATAACTGTTCAAAATCACTTTTATCGTTATTCTAAAGTAACAACTTCAAATAACAGTTTTCTTAACATTCAAAACTTAGATTATGATGAAATAAATTTTACACTAGTACAGACACTTCTAAGACCTGTTATTTTCTATTTATTTATTTAAAAAAACTGTTATATATTATAATCTGAGAGCAATGCTATTTTCATATCCGTTATTTTTTAAAAATATGCAACTGTTGTGAGCCCGATAAAATTCTATATTAACTTCTTTTAAATGCCTATGTAAATGTTATTTCTAAAAAATAACAGCTTAAAATAACAGGTTTCTTGACAGTCAAAACAACAAAAAGAAACAAGTAAATACAAGTTAAAAATAACAGTTAAAATAATCTGTTACTGTTATTTAAAATAACAGGTTCCTTGACGGTCAAAACAAAAATAAAACTAGAAAATACTACACAAGTTAAAAATAACAGTTAAAAATCACTTGTTACTGTTAGTTATAAATAGCTGCTTAAAATAACAGGTTTCCTGGCAGTAAAAACATAGGAAAGAGACAACTAAATGCTACATAAGTTAAAAATAACTGTTCAAAATCACTTGTTATCGTTATTCTAAAGTAACAACTTCAAATAACAGTTTTCTTAACATTCAAAACTTAGATTACGATGAAATAAATTTTACGCTAGTACAGACACTTCTAATACCTGTTATTTTCTATTTATTTATTTAAAAAACTGTTATATATTATAATCTGAGAGCAATGCTATTTTCATATCCGTTATTTTTTAAAAATATGCGACTGTTGTGAGCCCGACAAAATTCTTAACGCGAGAATCTCACAATTACATCGCAACTGGTCGCTGTTATTGCCATAACTGTTATTTTTTTTAAACAACTCTTTCGAGTATTGTAAAATTTAATTTTTTTTGTAATAGCAATAGGGACTCTAACGTCAAGAACACTCAATGTTATTTTATTCATACCTGTTACATGTTTTGGAAGTAACAACTATTGCAAACTGTTATTTCAAAATAACAGTTATAATAATAAAAATAGCTAAAAAATATAAAGTATTTTTAATAAGTTTTTTCGAGGAATGGCCTTTATTTTTTAATAAATAAATAACGAAACAAAGAAAACAAAATGGAGGAAAGGCACATGTTAGTCGTTACCTGATATATATTGTTCACTGACTTACTCTCACTACGAAGGCGTTGGTTTATTTCACACCAAGTGTGAACAAAAGATAAGGAATGTGAAGAAATCATCAATGAAATTGATGAAGTCAGTAACAAGGGCTACAAAATGTACATGATTCTTAAATAATATTAGCTATATACTATTATAGATTATTTTCTATACTCGCTTCGTGTAACTTTGCATTTTTTTATTTCCCCTGTATATAATAATAAAAATGATATAAATATCGACCCTTTCATCTATATATTTAGAAAAAAAAGAATAAAAACAAAATGTCGTTTATATAAAATCAGTGTCTCGTATTTAATATTAACAATTTTTAGATAGATAATTAGAAGCAAAAGAGGAAAAATAAGGTTATGGTTACAAATATATGGCGCCAAATTCGAATTTTACGTAACTGATATTTTTTATTGGACAGTTATAATTGAACTATTTATGGCTGTGCTGTATTTTGAAACTTTTAGTTATACCTAATTCATAAATATTGAAAGAAAAAAGAGAAACAGAGAAATAAGTAAATATAGAGCTGTATCCAGGAGTATTTTGAACTCTCTATGTTTACTTATTTCTATGAGTTTTATATATTGTAACTGAAGAATTCTAAACGTTTTTCTTTAAAAAAAAAATTGTGTGTACAGTATGTGTGCATATTTAGAAAAAAAGTTGAAAGAAGTTGAAAAAGTAATAGAGTAAAGAAAAAATATTTTTTACGCGTAAAAATAGTTTTTTACGTGTAACAAATAGTTTATTACACTTAATAATTTTTACAACACATTAAGTACATCGGCAGGATAATTAAATTTACAAAGCAGCCTGCACAAGTAAAGTATTTTGCAGCCTGCACAAGTAAGCCCAATCCTGCTTATGTTCATTGGAAACTTTTGAGGCCGTTGTTCTCTGAGTTCTGGAAGATTGCTCCGAAAAAGGTAATCGTGGGCGGCCGGCAGATGATGTGGATGAAAAGGATTCATTTAACTCAAGGATAAAATGCTCCTTTAACCAGTCATCATTTTGTTTTCAAAATAAATCTTTAAGCCGCGAAGTGCCCGATAGTTCTTGTTCATTATTCTGAAATTTCTGTCTTACAAAATTTGAAACATACCCGTTTTTCTCAACTTTATCGGCCCCTTGTAGCCATTTTTCCAAAAGATCTATTTTTTTCAATCGATACATAGCTGAAAAATTCTTTTAAAAAAAAGTTGCAGCTAGTAGCAGCCAATTTTTTCTTTGATATGTTCAGAAAGGATTGTTTAAAATTTTACAATAACATCTAGCATGGAGAAACATATTGGAGAATTTTTTATAAGTCAAAAACTAAACTTTTAACTTTTTATTTATGTTCTGTCTTAAACTCATTATTTTTAATTAATTAAAAAATAATGAACGCTGACTGTTATGTGCAATTGTTAGTGATTTCTTAAAAATACATACCATAAAGTATAAGAACAACAATAATTCGTTTTTATATCCCACTGAAATATATCACTTAATATTCACCAAAACTCTTCCAAAAATAAACAACAACTGAACAGGCACAAATACTTCACTAAAACGTCTAAATATAAATGCTGATAAGGATTAAAAATGAAAACTAAACAAAAATATATGCATGTGGTCTTCGTCATTTGTATATCTGCTTGCATTCCACTTTCTTCACTTGAAAAATCTTTTAAAATTCAGTTCCAAAAATTCGAATTTAGAGTTATATTTTTTTGAGACAAATATCTCAAAAAGAAACTCGAGATAACCTTATTAGAAGAGTGGTTACAACTGTTTTTTTAAATAAAATAATACAAAATGGTTGTGTTCAGACGTAGATTGAAAATGTAAAGGAAATAAGCAACGTTGTAAAATTGTTGTAACCACTCTGTACAGGTTGTCCATAATTCTAGCCACATCATTGAGGCCTCGGAAAAAAAATTGACGAAGTTGATGATAAACTTTTAAAGTGGCATTTTGATCAGTTTCCGAGATCCCAATGTTGAAACTCGATTTTGGGACACCCTGTACACTGCGAAAAGAAAAAAAAAATATCTTTTAGTACTTAGAATGGACTGACCTCTATATAGTGGTATGTGATGGATCTTTTTTATAATATCGTAGCTTTTAAAACTCAAAAGAATTTGATTTGACAATAGCTCAGAAAGAGATACATCTAAATCAAGATGATATAGAGTTCTATAGAGCTATTGTCAAACCGAAAATCCAATTTTTTAATAACTGTGTATGTCACTACTATCTGTGTTAGGTTGTTAATAAGACATTAAAAAAAACATCTTTATATTAAATGAAATATTGATATTTGTGACTAAGTCATCGTAGCTAGAAAGAAAACTTATTACTATTATTATTAATATATTCATTACAATATTATTATTAGTGAGAACGGTTCTCTCCATCCCGTTATAAAATAAGTAAGAAAATATGTGTATATTGATAGTCTATAATTTTTCATATTGTTGTACCATTTTTAAGTTTATATTAAAATGTTTGTGCATTAATAAGCAGTCGTTGTTTTTTTGTTACGTTTTGTTCGACGCTCCCCTATTATTAATATCCTCCATGTTCCCCTATTACTTATCTCTAATTACTAGCGATGGGAACTATCGAATGAATTAGACTATCGAATGGTTACTGAATGAATGATTTCAACTATCGAATGGTTTTATTCGAATAAAATCATTCATTCATTTGTATACTAAAGCATAAGTGACAACCTCGCCGTGCGACTAAATGGTTATCGTTGCGCCACGAGCCACGACTATCGAATGTTTTTGATAAATGAAATTTAGTATTCGTTTGATTTTTGTGTGCGTCAGTGCATTATTAGTTCTTCCAAATTTTTATAACTTCGCCTTGTAAATACTATGCTATTTTTGCGTTTATTAAAATATTTAAAATACTAAAATAGTAGTTTTTTTTTAATTGACGATTGTGTGCGAAGTGGTCAAAATTTTTCCGAAAATTTGTGTCATTTTCCGTAGCCCGATCTTTCAATTATTTAATTTTATATGGTATATTTTGGTTAGGTTAGATTGCATTTTTTTAATGGGAAATTTTGAGAGGTAACAATTTTTAAGAGAGATGAGATGAACTTACAATTAATTTTAAAAATACATATTTGTATTTTGGATGTTTTAATAATATGAATTAGTTGAACTTAATAATCATATTTAAGTAATGTGGTTAAGTAAATAGTTATTGAACTCAAATTTTGGGGTGAGAAAATTAAATTGAAAGCTTTACACGTGCCAATTTAAAAAAAAAGTTAACAATGTTTGTATTTTGTTTATGCTAATTCTCTTACATGTAGTTTTTTGCGAAGAAATATTTCATTTATTTTTTAAAGTAAATGCCAGTAAAAGTAAATATTATTTTTAAATAGTAATATAAAGTAATAAAAAGTAATATAAATAATTTTGATTTCTAATTTTTTATTTATATTTTCCTTCCATTACACTGCATGCTTAGAAAATTAATAAATGTTTATATTTTATTATTTTAAAATTTGTTGTTAATCTAACAAATTAGTTCTGTAACTATTATTATTTAATAAACCAACGTGGCCATTTAGAGACTATATTATTTTTAAATAGGATCTAATATAAATACTTTTGACTTCTATTTGTTGTTTATATTTTGCTACTACTTAAAAAAAATGTTTATATTATTAAATGATTGTAAATTTTGTTGTTAATAGGTATAACAAATTATTACTGTTATTATTATTTATTAAACCAGTCTTTGGTTAAAAACATTAAAAATCATTTTCCTACATCCAAAATAAAAAGTATTATTGCAGTGTAATATCAGAATATTAATAAAAAAAATGCAAAACATTAGACATACTATCCCTAACTAAATAATCCTAAAGAATAATATTCTTTGCTAATACCAACTAATACGAATATATGGCAACAGCGCCCTTCATAATGTATTTTCTGTGTAAATACTAGCACCTCAATAAAAAAAATAATGTGTCCTTATCTTTATTTGACTCCGCAAAAAATCAAAGATGCCGGCTTCTTTCATAGCATTGCCACCGACCGCTGTCGGGTTTCTAGGAAAGAAACCTACGTCGGCGTCGCCGGACGACAACTAAAATACTAAAATCCAGTTTATATTTCATTAAAATCGATCCTGACGAATAAATGAATTTGATAAATGAATGAATTTTATAAATGAATGGTTTTTGCTGCCGAATTACTAGAATACAATATTTCAAGGCAGATGACGCATCTATTCGATAATTTTTATTCGAATAGTTTTAGACGAATGTTTTTTTTTCTTACTAGCTATCGAATTATTCGAATGAATTGCAACTATCGAATGTTTCGATAGCATTAATTCGATAGTTCCCACTACTACTAATTACATTAAATTCGTTCATATACAGGGTCCGGCAAAAGTGTGTCGAGCATCTGTAGCTTCTAGAACAAAAAGCGTGGGAATTTTGTTTAAGTGCAAACCTAAAGTATGTACAAGAATGTATTTCAGGAAAATATTTTAACTTCTATCCTGTATATTCTTGAATTTTTGGCTTCTTTTCAGATCACTTTACATAATCCTAAGTTATGAATAAATATATTTCGAGGTAATTTCAGAGGTATTATTACACTCAAAAAAGTGTGAGTGGATTGGGATGATTTTTTTAAATGGCACATCCTGTATATTATTGCATTTTTGGCTTCCTTTCAGGTCACTTTACATAATCCTAAGATATGAATAAATATATTTCGATAGGTTCCAGGAGATATTAATAAATAAATAAATATATAGGTATTTTTCAGACTTTCTAAAAAAAATATTAAAAATACAAAAACTGTCCTGAGATCAAAACTATATTAGGTATTTACTTTAGAAGGTCTGTACTTACTTTGCTATAAATATGGTAATCGTAAATCATACAGGATGTTCAAAATTTTACGCCAAACTTTCTAAAATATAAAATAATTTTTCTTCGTTTTTTTTAATGGAATACACTGTATATTATTTTTTTATTAGATGGAGAATTAAAAAATGAACACTTTTTGTATTTAGACTATTTCAAAATTTTTAACGGTTTAGCAGATATTCGCGGTTTTTTATTTCCTATGGCATTTTCCATAGTAAATTTTTATCAAAGCCACCCCATGATTTTCCACTCGTATTTTACCGTTGAAAGAGCCATATGAAATAATACTGCGAGTATCTGTCATTTTTTAATTCTCCATCTAATAAAAAAATAATATACAGGGTGTCCTATTTAAAAAAAATAAAGAAAAATTATTTTATATTTTAGAAAGTCCTGTATGATTTAAGATTACAATATTTATAGCAAAGTAAGTATAGACCATCTAAAGTAAATACCTAATATATTTTTGACTTCAGGACAGTTCTTGTATGTTTAATAATTTTTTAGAAAGTCTGAAAAATACCTATATATTTATTTATTTATTAATATCTCTGGAACCTATCGAAATATATTTATTCATATCTTAGGATTATGTAAAGTGACCTGAAAGGAAGCCAAAAATGCAATAATACACAGGGTGTGCCATTTAAAAAAATCATCCCAATCCACTCACACTTTTTTGAGCCACCGAGAAAAATGCCAAAGTAGAAAAACTAAAGTAAAACGCTACTTAAAAAGACGTTTTATTTTAAATAAATTACACGATTTATACTCAAAAATTGATCAAATACCATTTAAAAAAATTAATACACTTAACCTAAACACATAGGCGCATAAAACTAGAATTCAAATAATTAATTTGACAGGTAGAGTCTATGATAGTCGTTAGCTCCGAAGGCGCAATTACATTTCGGGCACTTCCTCTGCCTCGTCTCATATCGCGTCTTCAAACAGTCGTAACAAAACACGTGGAAGCATTTCGACAACACCGCGTCCTTCCGTTTGACCTTGCACGAAGGACACGTCAACGTCTCCTTGTACTCCCTGATTTCCTCCATCATGACCTCGTCCAAGGTCGTACCGGCAAGCTCCATCTTCTTCATTCTTTCAGCCTTTCGTTTCAGTTGTGCTATTTCTTCTTGAAGCCTCTTTGTTTTGTACGCTTCTGCTTCTAACGAAGATGTTTTTTCGGCGACCACCTGTTGGGCTTCCTTCATTTGAGAGTGGTATTTTTCTTGAAAAGAAAATAGAAAATTTATTTATACTCTGTTTTTTTTTTCTCAGGTAAGATTTCGACAGACGATGACAGAAGAAAAGCAGATGACGTCCCATACCAATCTATTTATTTTACTACAAAAAGTTCCTAATATTTTTTTAAGTTAACCTTGGATGGGTTTAAATATAAATCCGTCATGCGTCGTCTCTTGTTGTTTTTAACCAGTTTTATTGGTTTATTCCAAAAATGACAGATCATATTTCAATTTTATTGGTTTGACGGAACGATGAACGACAAACGGACGCCGATGCGTATGAACCATAGACAAACAAATAAAAAGAGACTGGCAAATTAAATGGCAAAGAGAGGGATAACGTTCCCGTAGCGCAACTCAGAACGCAAAATTTCGTTCTATTTATGTTGATCTGTGCATTGCGTCTATTGGACCCACTATCTCATTCTAATATAACAAGAGAGAAAGAAGCAGCCATATAAAACTTAATTTCTAAATAGAAATTAAAACAATCGTCTTTCGTTTTCGTCATCATGACAAATGACAAACAAGATGACAACATCATGACAATTCGTCATGTTTGTTAATTTTCCTTTTAGTGATTTACCTTTTTTTTCTAAACTCTCCATTTTATTGACTTATGAATATGGATAGGGAACAAATTCCTTTGTTCCATATAGGTATTTATATTTTGTTACTTAATAATTTTAGGTTATACTATTTGTTATTTTATTTGCTGCAGGAGCCAGTATCATCTATTTTTCATATGTATTGGTACCCCCTTTCTCTGATAGATATGTTAAAGACACCCGGTAAAATAAAACTAAGTAGTTATATTTATCATCTTAAGAAAAAAGTGGGAGTAGTTAGTGTCAAAAATATTTCGAACCTCTCTTAACATAACAAATGAATACAATTATTTTTTTTTTCATTTTTTGGGTAGGTAGTTTATAGTAACCAGAAACTTTATTAATATACCTATTTTACTTTTGTTTTAGGATTAAAACTGGACTTGAAAATGGTCCAGGATCATGATTCTCGTAAAGTCTTCTTTGCTTGGATATTCACTTTGTTATTGCAATTAGGCAGTTTTTTCGAAAATAAGATTTTTAATGCCATTTAAAAAAATTGGCCGATCGTTTCCTGCAACAGTCAGTTCTTCTGCATTTAAAATTGGTCGGTGGGTGGAATAAACACTGTTATTTTTTGTTATTATATTATAAAAAGTTTATTTATTTTTATGTATAAATAATTATGTTTATAAAACAGTACAATTTTTGCTTTTTTATAATTTCCCTTATAAGTATTCTTTCGTTCTGAAAGAAACTGCAAATTTTCACTTAAACTGATTTATTCCCTACACCACGTTCCCTTTACATGGTATAGGGAATAAATCAATTTAAGTGAAAATTTTCAGTTTCAGAATGAGAGAATACTATAGTAAACGCCACGAATGTTTGGGAGTGATTCATCGGCCGCTACCATGTGAACTAATCTGTTCAAGGTTACATAAAACTTAATTCCAGTGTCGTGGTCTTTCAAGTGATATAATAATCAATATATAATCTGTTGTAATTTGTTGTTTTAACTGTCAAAGTCTTGTCAAAACCTTTGAATAAGAAGACTAAGGAAGGAGCATAATGCTATCCATGTATTCATGCATGGTGGGCGGAAAAGGCACCATAAAAGCTCTCTAGGGTGGGGATCCTTGACAGTTCTGTTTGACGATTCATTTGACACATTTGAATTTGATTTGAAATTTTGTGGATTTGTCAGTCTTTATGAAGCTTATTTTATGTTATTTATTATTTATTCTACTACTGATAGTTGTATAAAGGTAGTAAATCTAGATGGAAATTGTGGCAGAACTTAAATTAACAGTGACACTATCGCGATTTATCGAAAAATACTCTAAAATAGTTGGTTGTGTAGCGTGCGGTAGATCTCGGCAAAAATTGAGTGAAATAATGGAACAACTTTTCGCTAGTATGTGACTATATAAAATACATACGTGTAGTAAACCGATCATTTATGAAATTCACTTAAATTAACTAAATTATATATTTTTCTTGCATTTTAGCTTTTAATTATTACTTGTCAAAGATTAGATGTCAAAGAATTTAGATACGTTAATTTGACTTACCTGCTTCAGTAGCGTATCGGATGTTTGTGTTAATAAATACTTATTTTAACTTATCTATTTTTATTAGAATTACATATTTTTATAACAATTTTAATAACTACCAACATTTATTCACAACGTAAAATAAAACAACAAATTATTGAGTCTACCTCACGTCTACCCTACATCATAGTTTTACATTTTTTAAATAAAATTAGAACGACACTGATAAACCGGAATTTAAGTCGGCCATATTTGAGGCCCATCGCGGTGTACCTAAGATTTTTGATATGCTCCTTCCTTAGTCTTCTTATTCAAAGACAATTATTCATTCTTTATAGTGATTTGCAGTAATCCGGTGTTTAACCATAGTAAATTTTTGTTATTTTTAATATAAAATTCAATTGAAGTGATTAAAAAGTACTCCCTCAATACAAAAGAAATGCAACGAAGTTACAATTAAGGAATAAATAATAAATCAAATTCAATACAAACTCAACTGGTTTAAAATGACGCGTAGAAAATTGTGACGTCACCTATCAGCATTTGACTGAATAGTTGACAGAGGGCGCGAGCCTCTGAAGAATAATATTATGGCGTGTCTAGTTTTCTGCTACCGTATTTACACCATATATCTTAAAATCACGTTAGATTTTTCTATTTTTATTGAGATCGTTAAAAAATACGTTTTTATGTGGGATTATTCTTTATTACCCCAATATTAAATTTACTTTTATATTTTTTATTACTAGAAATTAAAACTTAAATTTTTATAATTAACAGGTTACTGCCATTTTTATCGAAGCACTAAACACTACCAAAATTGTTCGGATGTTCGAGGCGTTCGAAGGTTCGAGGTTAGATTTGTATTTTAGGGATTTTGCGTTTGGCGTTAAATACTTTGAGTTTTCAATTTTGTTTTATTGTACACTCTTTATTATTTTTGTAATGAAGGGTGTTAAAGTTTGTTTTGTGAAGGGCTGTCTAAATAACTCTGAAGGCTCTCCAAAAAAAGTTTTTATAACTGTTCCTTTGGATGAAAGCCGTCGAAGAGCCTGGTTTGAAGCGGCAAGACAACAATATGTCAGCAAAAGTACGAGATTTTGCTGTGAAGATCATTTTAACTTAAGTTCCTTAAGTTTTATTTTACAATTAATTTTTATATCTACTTTAAAATACATTTAGAAAAATGGTTTTTATTTACCTTTGTACCTGGTGGCAAACCGTGACACTTTTGAGAGGTGACGTCAAAGATTGAAAAAGTGTAAATTTGAAATTCTTAATATTGATTAATTTTTTTAAAAAAATGGGATGAAATTGAAGTAAAATAAAAAAATACGGGTGTCGTAAAATTGTATGAAGATTAATTATTTGCAATAAAAAAACTATGGTTAAACTACGGATTTTATTAAATTATACGAATATTCTCGTTGATTATTGACAGTGTCCTCCAATGAAAATACGAGTTACTAACTCGAAATTCTAATTCTGAGCTGGCAAATGAGCTAGATGCTTTACCTAGACCGTTTTATTCCGAAGCTACAAATCTACCGGTGAAAATATGCATGAAAATATTCTTCCTAGAACACAACCAGAAGATATTGGTACAGTAGCAAGTTTATTATAGTGATTTTCTTAGCCGCGTATGGCACAGATCGTTACCCAGTATTGCCACAAGCTTATTTTTCATCGGGGTAGATTATCAAGAGATAGCGCGGTTAAATTGTTTTATAAAGGGGCAGATCTAGACCGAATGGGGTAACTGTGGCAACACTGCCTTTACCGCTTTTCCTCTAGCTAGCTCGTTTGTCACTTAAAAAAAAACATTTCCTATATTTTTGGCACAAAATACCGACACTCAGTAGAGTAGTTCGTTTGTACCACTTACTAGTCATGGCCGGAACAGCGATTTTTTAATAACAGTTACAAGCTGTTCCAGTTGCAAAAGATACCTGTTCCAAGAAACCTGTTCCAGTTCCAAACTGTTCCAAAACGAAAATTAATACCGTACTTGCGTCACTCTGATTCGGTTGCTATTTTTCTTTTTAAATTTATATAAAAGAATATTTTTTGCTCAAATAATGAGAACTACTGGGGATTTTTCTGTTTTCCCTAAATTTAATCTACTATCTATGTTGCTATATTACCAAGATATAATGTTTTTTAACTAAAAACTAAAAAAAACTATCAAATTTTCGAAAAATATAAACTTTTCAAAAACATGTTTTCCCGAAAAAAACTCATGAGAATCGAAATATACAACCCCAAAAATATGTGCACTTATTTAAGACCCACCCTGTATAAGCACTAATGAATAAATATAGATTTATAATTTTGTTATATACTTAAAAAGTAAATTCTTGGAAGAGTTTATTTTTTTTAATATCTACTATATTTATAATACAAAACAATAACCGACTGTTCTTACACTGTATTTTTCAAAAAAAAACTATAATGCGATAATTATATTGCATTTGGCAACATCGCCAGAATTTTTTTTATAATAAAAAATGTTCCTTACCTATTTTGTTTCTGTTTACATTAAAAAAATAAAATATTTAAAAAAAAATTATAATAAATTTAAAATTTATAATAAGAATTTAGTTGAATTTTAATTAAATATTTTAAATAACGACAACAGCCACACTTGTTTTTTACGCCCCTGTATCCCGATAACAGATAACACCTGAAAGGTCGCGTCCGCTAGACTTAGCTAGACTAGCGAAACATTGAGCGAAACCGATATACGACCTCGATTATCAACTCAAACCAGTTCTTTTTACTTAACTGTTTCAAACAGTTCCATTATGGAGCAGTTGCCTGGTATTATGGAGCAGTTGCCTGGTACACAAAACTAGAGCAACGGACGGCAAGGCTAAACCTATGCAAAGTCCAGAGACTAGCATGTGTTTGCATCACAGGAGCCATGAGAACCTGTCCAACAGCAGCAATGGAGGTCATTCTAGATCTAACACCACTGCACATTGTCATTGGTAGATATGCCAATGCGACAATGATTAGAATGGTCACTAACGGAATTAGTACTGGGAGAATTGTCAGATCAGGGGCTTGGAACACCCTCAAAAAGGAAATACAACTCATGCAACTCCCAGTGGACGATATGCCAAGAACGTACAACTTTGACAAACATGTCAATGTAGTATTGAGCAATAAGAAGGATTGGAAGAGCGAAACGCTTGCCCAGCAGTTAAAAGATCATACCATAACTTGGTATACTGATGCTTCCAAAACCAATACGGGAACAGGGATCGGAGTGATTGGGCCGAGAGCTAATTACTCCGAACCAATGGGCACTTACCCTAGTATCCTACAGGCAGAAATCTACGCTATCGAAGATGCGTACAACTTATTTTAGATAGGAACAATCGGAAACAAGAAATAGCTATCTTATCTGATAGTCAAGCAGCGTTAAAGGCGACCAACTCAGTATCAATCAATTCGAATTTGGTCAAAGAATGCATAGAGAAGCTGAATAAATTAGGCAAAGAAAAAAGTCCTCCTACACTGGGTGCCTGCTCACCAAGGGATAGAAGGCAATGAAAAAGCAAATAATCTAGTTAGAAAGGAGCGAACACTCCACTAACTGGACCAGAACCGTTCTGCTTTCCAAGTGGTAACCAACTCAAGGCAGAACTCAAGAACTTGGAAGATTCCATCCGCAACCTGGAATGGAAATCTTGCAATGGTCTAAGACACTCGAAGAAGTTTCTGAGGGCTTATGATCAAGAAAAATCACAGATCTTTCTGAGTAAGAACAATCTTCGGATTGTCACGGGGTTTTTAACAGGACACTGTCTCCTCAATGGACACCTCAGTAGATTGAAACTAAGAAGAAACGGCGAATGCAGATTCTGTGGGAAAGATGGGGAAACACCAGTACACCTCATCACTGAGTGCGCCGAGACGACAACCATTCGTGCCATGAATTTTGGTATGACTGATATTGGAGATGGAGAACTACCCTCTATAAAACCGTCCCAGATACTGGCTTTTGTCAAAGCCCTGGGACTGTATGATGAGTTATGATTCAAGAAAGGGGGACACAATGGATTTGTAAGGTCGAAGTGATTAACCCCCCTCCCACTCATTCTAAATTCTAAAAAATTCTAAAACAGTTCCAAGTTCCTAACTGTTCCAGGTCGCAAACTGTTCCAAGTCTCAAACTGTTCCAAGTCCCACTGTTCAGGTTGGAAACAGTTTACGGCTTGGAACAGTTTAGCGCTTGGAACAGTTAGGGGCTTGGAACTGTTTGGGACTTGAAACAGTTTGGGACTTGGCACAGTTAAGTAAAAAGAGCTAGTTTCATTTGAGAAACGAGGTAGTATATCGCTTTAGCGACGCGGTCGCTTGGCGTTATATTATCGAGATTGAGTGCGAGTGCACTAATATAGTGCATAGACGTAAAAAACAAGGATGACGGTTTTCGCAGCGTTGCCGATATTTGATATATTTAATTAAAATTCAACTAAATTTTTATTATCAATATTAAATAGGAAATCAATATTTAAAAATACAGAAAGAAAAGAATATCTAACATTTACTATTTTATATATGTAAAATAGTAAAATACATATATAAAATAAAAACAATTTACATTCCTAGATAATAAAAACAAGCGATTCCTTTGTCAGTATGTATACATTTTTTGCGCAGAGTTTTTTTTAATGTAAACAGAATAGGCGAAGAGAATTTCTTACCATCAAAAAAACGTACTGGCGATGTTGCCAAATGCAATATAATATATAATTATCTAATTTTGAAAAATACACTATTAAGAATCTAGTATCACAAATATAGAAGATAACATAATTTACACAATTCCAAGAATTTATTTCTTTAAGTATTTAATTTAAGTTGCAGTGTTTTGAAACAGCTGGAACAGTTGGAACTGGAACTGGTATAGGATAGCACATAAACCTGTTCCAAGCCAGTTCCAAAACAAACCTGTTTCGAAAATAACAGATCCTGTTCCAAAGCGTCATCACTACCACTTACCTAAATGCAACTTCAAATCCGCCGCCGACTGCGCCGATTCTATAGCTTTTCTTTTATGCATTTCCATCGCTTGTTGTCTCAACTGCAGTTCTTTTTCGACAGTCGTCAAAGTATTTTGCAGTATCCTCTCTTTTTCTTCTAGTTTTCTTACAACTAAATTCGCAGCATCCACTTGAGTCGTCAGTGTAGTCACCTGTAAAACACATTATAAATCATCCTAATTAGGGTATAAAAGAAAAAAACACCTACTTGTTCTTTTAAAACGTCTTTTTCCTCCCTGGCCAGCTTGTGTAACTGATTTGATTTGATTCTTTCAGACATCAGTTTGAAATTCGCGTCATCTTTTTCTCTCAATTGCTGAATCAGTCTTGAATTTTGTTCCTGTATAATAAAAATATGATAAATTTTGGATATAGAAAGATATAGTAGGAATTTTTTAGTACCTGCATGTCCTCAAAAGCTTGACCAGTAACCTCCATCTCATTTAGCAAGGCTTCCTCCTCATGGGAGCCAACAAATGGTCTCATTTGATGGACAACGCCCCCTGGCCAGTTGCCATCTGAAGGTTTTTGCAGAGCCACCTGCTTCTGAAGCTCATATTTCTGTTCTTCTAACTGTTTGATCTTCTTCAGGGCTTCATCTTCTGCTAACTTCCTTTTATCGTCTCTTTTGTTTTCCTATTAGAAGGATTCAAAGATATTTTACAAAAAAAATTGTATATAATCACTTGCTGGTCAGATTTTTTTTAAGAATATATCACAAATTGTTTGTTATTAATATTAATAGTTAGTTAATTATTACTAAAAATTTTAGAAAACAAAGAAAACAAAGTATTTATTATAATCTTGTTACATTTTAATATTAATATTAAAATAAATAACAATAAAGGTATATTTTTATATCAAAGGGCATTACAAATATATTTGTGACCTGTGTGTGACCGGATTACATGAGATCCAATCATTTCACAAGTCAAAAATATAACTGTAACACACTTTAATATTAGAGCATAATCCATTTTAATATTAGAGTTCAGTACATTTTAATATTAATATTTAAATGGATTGTATATTGACATTAAAATGGATAGCAGTTAACATATATGTTAAAATGGATTACACTAATATTAAAGCGGATTGCACTAATATTAAAATGGATTGTACTAATTCACTAAAAAAATTATAAAGAAAGTTTTAAGACTATTTTTTATTAACTTGGAAATCGCATGTAATCCATTTTAATATGAATATTTAAATGGATTACATATTCATATTAAAATGGATAACACTTTTAATGGATGTGTTAAAATGGATTACAGTAATATTAAAATGGATTACAATTATTTTTGCCAGTCAAATCTGTTGAATGTTAATTTGTTTTAATCTAGTAATACTAAATTTTGCTGCTCAAAATATTCTATCATTGATTTTGAACTCTTGTAGTATAAAATTCAATTGTTGATATTTGTATAAACAATGGTCTCTTATTTATTAAAACATTTTATTTTCATATCAAACCTTTTAATTATTTTTATTTTTTCAATATATCAATATAATGAAATTAAAAATTGTAAAAAATAAGACTATTATTATCTATTATTGAAAAAATCAGATTTTCGTAATAAAAGAGTAAAAAATTAACAAATCAGAGATTTTGACAAGTACTGATCTCAAATTATAGAAAAAAATAAAGAAATAATATTGCTAGTTAAAAAAATCGTTGTGGGACATTTGACTTACTTACCTGCATTTTCTTCATTTGTTGCCTCATCTCATCCAAATCCGTTCTCAGCTTCTTCTCAGCCGCCATCAACTGCACTTTGTCCCTCTGTTCCTTGCTCACTCCTTTGTACATGTCCAACAACAGCTTCATCTCTTTCTGTTCGTTCAGAGCTTTCCTAAAAATAAAAATTACTCAAAAAATAACACAATTTCGTTTCAAAAAACTTTATAATTACTTTAGTTGGTTTTTCAAATCCCTGATCATTTCACTTTCAGCAATTTTAGCCTCTTTGACCCTCTGAGCTTCTCTCTGATCTTTTTCCGTTTTGATTTGTTGCTCTTTCTTAATGATATTCTTCTCCTGCTTGACATCCTTTTTTTCTCCAGATCCTGAAGCCTGATTCTTGTCTCCTTCAGCATTTTCTGTTGTTTGCTAAAAAAAAATAAAGTTATGCAACTAACAATACAACGATTTCCCCCTTTTATTCAGTATCTTAATTTGAACCTTAAGCGTAGTTGACAAAAGGTCAAAAACAAAATAATATCAATCAAATGTTGTAATATAAAATGGATTACGCTCTAATATTAAAGTGGATTACAACAATTCTTTGTAATTTGTGTAGTGATTCGACTGTATGTAATCCATTTTAATATCAATATTTAAACGGATTATATATTGTTATAAAAATGGAGAACACTCTATAATTAAAGTGGAATATTTTTCTAGCTTGGGGATCTTATGTAATCCATTTTAATATAAATATTTAAATGGATTACATATTAATATTAAAATGGATAACAATTTTAAAATATAGAACAAGCATATTTGACAAGGTCGAAATTAAAATAATATCAGTCAAATGTTGTAATATGAAATGAATAATGGACTAATATTAAAGTGGATTACAACAATTTTTTGTAATTTGTGTAGTGATTCGACCGTATGTAATCCATTTTAATATCAATATTTAAATGGATTATATATTATAAAAATTGAGAACACTAAAATTAAAGTGGAATATTTTTTCTAACTTGGGGATCTTATGTAATCCATTTTAATATAAATATTTAAATGGATTACATATTAATATTAAAATGGATAACAATTTTAAAATATAGAACAAGCATATTTGACATAATGTCGCAAATAAAATAATATCAGTCAAATGTTGTAATATAAAATGGATGACACTCTAATATTAAAGTGGATTAAAACAATTTTTTGTAATTTGTGTAGCGATTCGACTGTATGTAATCCATTTTAATATCAATATTTAAACGGATTACATATTATTATTAAAATGGAGAACACTCTAAAATTAAAGTGGAATATTTTTCTCTAACTAGGGAATATTATGTAATCCATTTTAATATAAATATTTAAACGGATTTCATATTAATATTAAAATGGATAACAATTTTAAAATACAGAAAAAGCATATTTGACATACGGTCGAAAATAAAATAATATTAGTCAAATGGTTTAGTCAAAAGTAATATAAAATGGATTACAAGAATTTCTTGTAATGTGTAGTGATTTGACTGTATATAATCCATTTTAATATCAATATTTAAATGGATTACATATTAATATTGAAATGGATAACAATTTTAAAATACAGAACAAGATAAAATATATACAAAAAAAATAAAGTAAAATTAACTTACCTCTTGTTCTTCACCTTCCTTTTTCACGTCCGTCACTGATTGTTCCTCTTTGACAGGAGCATTTCCTTCTTCCTTAATATCCGCTTCTTCTTTGATATCTTCTTTTTTAATAGCTTCCTTAGATTCTTGCTGATGACTACCTTGTTTTTGAGTAAGTTTAGTTTGCAAATCTTCTATTTCTTTCTTTAATTTCGGTAGTTCTCCATTGGCTTCCTTGTATTTTCTTTTGTATCTATGCACTTCACCTGTTTGAAAATAAAAAAAAATAAAAAAATGTAATAAACAAACAACAAAAAAATTAAAAAAAAACAAAAACAAATCAATAAAATAACAACAAAAAAAAATAAAAAATAAATATTATTATATCTACCTTTTAATTGCTGAGTGTTATTTTGCAATGAAGTGATCAGATGTCTCATTTCTCTATTTATAGGCCCTGTTTGCTCATTGGCCGCTAGATTTTGCTCAAACTCTATCCTAAGCATTTCATATTCTTTTCTCAATTGAGCCAAGAAATCCTCTAACTGCATGACCTCTTGCCTCAATTTTTTCTGGGCTATTAGCTCATCACTCTGTAAAAATAAGAAAATCAAAAAACCTTAATAACAATAGCATTTTTTTATATTTACCTCCATCATTTCTATGTTTCTTAAATGCGCATTCTTACTGGTTTGCAGTTGCTGTCTAGCTTCATCCAGCTGCGTTTTAAGCTGCATCGATTCATTGTACAGTACAGAGAATTGAGACTGGAGACACTTGTATTCTGTGGTTTCGACAATAACGCTTTCTGGTAGTTGTCTTATCTAAAAGAAAAATTTTAATTGTATTTTTTTACAGTGTTCTGCAACAAGTTTTTTTTATAAGAACTAAAGATGCCTGACTGATGGTGAACTATGTATAATAAAGAAGTATTTAAATACTAACATCCATTTTTAATTTTTCAACTTCTTTCAATGTTTCACGATGGGTTTGATGCAATTTGTCCAATTCTTGCAGCCTATTGTTTGCCAGTTCCTTGTATTCTTCCACTTCCTTCATTAGATCTTCTAATTTAGCCTACAAAACAATAAAAAAAACTCCCAATATCTTAGAGGAACAAAAAAAAGAACAAACCTGTGAAACACTGCTCTGCACCACCGGTTTCTGTTGAACACCCTTCTCAGGGTCACCGTGCAACTGATGATAGGCCTTGATTTTCTCGACCGCTTCAGCCAAGTGAGTCTCCAACTTATCATTCCTATTTCTCACTTTTTCCAGCTCATACTGAAGATCATCTATCTGATTTTTTAATTCGGCTATTTCTGTCTCTTTTGCCGTTACAGAGTCCTGTAATTCGGCCACTTTCAAGCTGTTTGTGTGGTATTTTTCATGTAACGTTGTGTGTAGTGCTTGTAGGTTTCTGTTTTCCGCTTGCAGTTGTATGTTGGTTTGGCGAATAGCTTCGTCAACGGATGGGGCATCCTCTAGAATAATACTGTATAATATAATACCATATGATCGAAAAAAAAAGGCGTTAAAGAAGGCTGAGGAATAACAAACAATGATAATTTTGGCAAGGTCAAACCCTAGACATCATTTACTTGGCCTGTATTCTAGTTAATAATGGTGGATACTGGCAGTTGGCCTTAAGATGGTTGTGATTATTTTTAACTTGAATAAAAGTAATTTTTGAATTACTTTTACATTTACTTATTGTCATTATTACTAACGATTAAAAAAAAATTAAGAAAAATATACATACGTCCCTCTAGTTCTCCTTTAAGAGCTAGAGTAATTTTCTCGTTCCTTTGCATAAGCCTGTCAAAAGCCTGAATAACTTTAGCCACAGCTCTTCTTGATACTTGAACTCTGTTGGCCAGTTTATCATTGAGTTCGTCCTTGTCCCAAGTTGAGAGCTGCATAAGAAAAGACGTAGTAGCCTCATTTTCATCTAAAAAATTTTAAAATTAGTGCTTGAAGTTTTTTTAAATGTTCTTCACTTTTATTTTCAGACTCATCGGCTGTTTCTGCATCAAATCTTTGCAATAGAATACGAATATCCTCGTTCAATTGGTTCCAGTAACGGTTCACCACGTTCAGCATAGCATCGTCTTGAGTTTGCCTCTTCTCAAGCTGTTCAATCCGTTGTCTCAGTTCCTGTTCTGTTCTGCATCTTTGCTCGATCCTCTAAAACAGTTTAAAACGTTCTTAGAACAATATAAAAGGTCACGGCAAGTTAAAATACCTGTGCGAGTTTCTTGTTTTGGAACTGAAGCACCTTGATGTCCATTTCTTCGAGAGTAGAGACAGGACCGATTAAATGGGGTTCAAAATGAATTTTCTTAATGGGGGGCAGGCCCCCAGAGGAGGTAGGCTCCTCTGCGTGTCTTTTCGACATGATTTAGTGGTTACTTCAGTTTAAAATCTGGAAAAATACAAATATATTTTAATGATTATGATAGGTATAACCTGGGTATAACCTAAAAAAACAAGTTGACTTTAATTTTACCGAAAAATATGAACATAGCAAAAGCGAATTATGTGCTTCAAGTATTTTAAAAAACGATACAAGATGAAACAAATCTACTTACTGAATATTTGTTTAATAATTAATTTAAAAACAAAAATATTCAAAAATTCTGAAGAAACTCATACGTCATATGTCACGTATTTTCTTTGGCGTTTTAAGGTGACTTTACACCGGAACCGACTTTTAAATAAATACATTGATATTCTAAAACCTGCCTAAATTTACATACAAAAATATTACATAAACAACTAATAGGTTAATAACTAAACACCGATGTAAATATTTTATTGTTTAATATTTTTAAAATAGGAAAATAAATAGTTTTGTCTGGTTTTGGTGCTTAGATGTGTGAACGCGACTTAAGATTCTGCGTGCAGTGTTGCCAAACGTGTTTCCCCTTATTTCTCTGAAATTTCTGCCAGTGTTTATCGGCGATTCGAGTTGGAGAAGTTGTTTTCATCCATTTCCGACTCCAGTAATCCAAAAAACGAGTGTTTTAGTGTTTCAAATCAATTATCGACTGAAAATCTTAAGGAACCAGGTAAGAACGCCCCATTAATCAGTGTATTTTCATCAACTCCTCCAATTGCTTTCATTATTTGTATTGTTTCATCAAGACGAATCTTTCACAGGCCTTCTCGCGTTTAATTTAAAGCAGTATTGAAAGAAAATTGATTTTATGTAATATCTTTGTTGCGCTTTACGTAATGACATTTCTCGTATAGAATTTAGAGGGCTTTGAGTTAAGGTTAATTGTCAAATGTTATTGTTTTTAGAATGAGGAAATTGTTAAAAAACAAGGCTGACTTGATGGAATGATGCGACGACGTTGACTCAGTTGTTCGGTGTTCGGGTTTTTGTTGTTTATCGGCAGCTAAATTATCGTGAAAATTTGAAGAAAACGATGGGATAGACGGCGGAAATGGTGAAAATGTCGACAAAATCGCTCAATTTCTTATAAACATCGCCGAGTTATCGAGTAGTGTCTCTTGGCTTGCCACGTTCCTTACCGTCGTCGCCGACTCCGCAATTCAATTCATTCATCAGCAGTCGTGCAGCCATGGCGGAACAACATCGAGGCGCAGATTACCTTGCCGTCTGCAGATTGTGCCTCTCCGATAGAACGGACTCGCTAAAATCCATCTACGACATTGCCCTAGGTCCGAACCGTCTTCCACAGAAGATTCTACAGCTGTTAGCCGTCCAGGTGAGTTTTTACACGAAGTTTTCCATGTTTTACAACCGTCTAAACCATCGGTTTGGAGCCGTAAAGGCGAGAATCGCCGGATCGGTCGCGGCATTATCGACCTTACGCACCACGGCTGGGCCAGCGATTGGAAAATGGCTGCACAGCGAGTCGGGCAGGCTTTGAACGGTTGGTGCACCGTTTTAGGACGATGATATTGGTTGAAAATGGACGGATTTTGGTGTTTCGGTGTGGGTTCACGTGGGATTTTGCGAAAAAGTTGATGATTTATTATGGGAATTGGGGTATTTTCAATTCAAACGTGTTCCTGGCGTGTTGGAACTCGTATCTTTTACTCCAGCCTGTGACGTAACAAAGACAGTCACTTTCGCTTGTTTTCAACATTGCTTATCATTAATTCAATAACGATGTTGATGATTAATATTGTTTTGATATTGGAAAACATGAATGTATTTGATTATTTTCTTTTAAAATGGATTTACATAATAATAGAATAGATTTTGAAACTTAAATGATGAAAAACGTGTACTTTTTCTTTGTTCATCATTATTTATAATTAATTCAGAGTGAATGAGAATACTGGGGATTAATAATGGTGTAATTATGGAAGAGATTAATGAATTAATTGATTATTTCTTTTATAAATTGGGGTAAATTACTTTAAATGTAATAGAATAGTTTTTGGGACTTAATGATCACAAATTTGTAATTTTTCTTTGTTTTCATCATTATTTATTATTAATTCAAAGTAAATAACGATGCTGGTGTTTAATATTGTTTTGATTTTAGAAGAAATGAATGAACTCTTTGATTATTTCTTTTACAAATTTGGGTGAATACTCGGGTGAATAGCTTTAAATGTAAAAAAAAAATATTCTTTGAAGCTTAATGATCAAAAACTTGTGATTTTTCTTTGTTTTTGTCATTATTTCTGATTAATTCAAAGTAAATAATGATGCAGATTTAATATAATGGTTTCATTTTGGAAGAAACTAAGTGAATTAAAATGAACAGCAGTTTTTTTGGAAACTGAATGATCCATGTGAATTTGTTTTGTTGAATCTAGTGTAGCAATGATATTTGTATTAATATTCGTTTGATTTGTCAGAAAAATTGATTATAAATGGATGGAAGAAATAAATGATAAAAATGGCGTTATTTAATTATTTTCTTTCTAAAATGAAGTGAATTGTTTTTTTTTACAATAATTAATGTTTTAATACAAAAGTTTTTGAAATCCCAATAACACATATAAATTTATATTCTCAAATTTGCTTTAACAATGATGTTTGTGTTGATTTTTTGGCTATGGTTGTTTTCTAAATTTGGCCTTTATGGTGAGGATTTTGAAAGAAATAAATGGATACACTTTACGTTGTTTCATGATTATCTAAGTCTTTTATTTTAAATGTAATGTGGTTTTACTAAATCAGTTTTTGAATTTTAATGATCCATATGAATTTCAATTCCTAAATTTAGTTTAGAAGCAGTATTTGTATTTAATATCCATCTGATTTTGGAAAAAATGAATGATAAATGTGTCTATATTGAGTTACAATGAATTGGCCATTCTTATAATTGGGAATTACTATATTTTTTGAAATTATAATCTAATGAATCCACTTGATTTTCTACCATTACTTTTGATTCTCTTCATTTGAGACGTCAGGTTGCAAAACCGTCTTATACCAAGAACGTTGTTTCTAGATAATATGCAAAAACTGTTTTAGAAAATGTTGGAAACGTTATTTTACAAAAAACGTGCCCCTTGAGTAGGATCATTGTTTTGTATCTCGTTTTTCTAGAAATAAAAATTAATATTTAATTTTTAAAGAAAAAAAACACAAAAATAATTCGGATAAGGCGGGTTTTGTTGCAGCAAGAGATTTGCATCCTAAGGGTGCAGCCACACTATCCTAAAAACGGCGTATCGGCATAACGGCGTAATGACCTTGAATAGATTTCCAGTAATTCTATTGGCTGAAACATTCATCTGTCAGAAATTTTATCTGTCAAATTCATCTGTCAAAAATTTCAGCCAATAGAATTACTGGAAATCGATTCAAGGTAACGTAATTTGTAATGAATTTTATATAGAATGGAGACTTTTGCTGCAGTTTGGAACTACGCTTATGTAGACTTCAGATAGATATGTCATTAGGCCATTTTTACGGATAAGGTGGTTTTGCAATTTGATATTAGATTTTATTTTGGACAAAGTGCATGATTTTTATTCAATTATTTGCTTTCAAAGTACAGATTATACTTGTAAAAAGTTAATGGTGTTAGGAGAACACACATTTGAAAATAAATAATTATATTCTAATGATTAAGTGAATAATGGACATCTTTATTGAATTTATTAATTCAAAATGATTTGAGTTTGAGGATACTAAAATATTTTTGGTTTGGGACTTAATTATTAATATTTTATGTTCTATAAAATTGATAAATTATTTGATTTAATGGACAACAGGTGGATTTTAATTGAAAACAAGGACATATTTTTGTTATGTTCAGTAAATGAAAAACGTAGTTCTATTGTGAAATTCAAACTCATGCTCCTACTATAATTAAACGAATTTATTAGTAGTATAAGTATACTTTCCGGTACAAAAGAAAAAAAATATAATGAGGTAGAGTTATAAAATATATTACTATCCCATTAAGAAAAATTTGGGTTATGCCGTACAATAACAAAATGGTATTTCATTAGGGTATTTTTATTGTTGTTTATTTATAATATACCTGTAAGGAATTTGGTTATATAGAGTAATATAATAAAACTTCATTTATTTATTTATTTATTAGATCTTAAATCATAAATTATCTTGATTATCTCACTGTTATTTAAATTGCATTGTGCGAGTGCAACATTTGCCCTTGATCTAATATTGTTTTCAAAACGGCGTTGCCAGATCTTTCTTTTTTTCCTCAACTAGCGTGTACCCGCGACTTCGTTCGCGTCGGATTAATCATTTCTAATGGTGATGATAAAGCAAAGCAAGACTTTCCATTAACATACAAACTGGATAAAATTTTCTCACATTTATGTCAGCATAAGAAAAAGCAATATGGCGATATTATTATATAACTTGGTAATATTTGAGGGGTAGTTTCATCTCGCTGGAATTTGACTTTCGAAAAATCCGTTTGCCAAAAATAAGCTTTTTACGTCAAGCAGTTTAAGTAGAATCATGGTTAATTAATTACCCGAGGGTACCGTGTCTCACTATTGGAATTACATGTACATTTTCTTGGCAGTCGCTGGCAGTCATTGGCAGTCTTACGGCAGTCGCCTATAATAATTACATGGCAGTCATAGGCAGTCTTCTTCGCAGTCATTGGTAGTCCCTTGGGCTCAAGTTTCGTTTAGCCGAAATCAGTTATATAGAATATCGGTTTATAGAATGATTCTATACAAGAAAACTAGCACTACATAATTTGATTTTTGCCGCGGAAATTCTTTGTTTTTGAGTAAACTCGAATTTTTAATTTTTCTATTATTAACTAAAATTTAAAACTTTACGGTGTTTTTAATAGTTTTTTCATTATAGAATGACGTAAAAACATTTAATATAACGATGTGATCTAATTTTTATTCGAAAATATATTTTTATCACAATAATTTTCATTGATTTTTCCGGGTTTAGAAGTGCCGAAATGTGATAGGAAGATAAAAACTACATATTTTTGTTTGATTAATAATTTGCTATAACTTTTCTATATAACTATTTCCGCGGAAATCTATCATAAGGGCGGTGTAATGGAAAATCTTCAATATTAAGTTTTCCATAGTATTCTCAACTATTTTGCATACTTTCGGTTTGGTTTTAGTTGGTTTGGTTTAGTTGTCGTTTTTATGCTTTATTGACAATTGTTTTTAAATTTTCGCATTTGTTGACCATAGCGATATTAAGTTGATAAGAATAGATAATATTCATTGATCTGTGTCAAAGGTCGGGAAGAAGATCACTGCATAGTGGTGAAACAAGGCATTTCCGCGGATTTTCATTTTTGTATCGGTGCTTAAAAATAAGTCTACAATATAAAATAATATTAGTTTTTTATATATCTCATTTCGTTACTTGTGAACCATATTCAAAAAAATGGCAACAGCGCATTTCCGCGGAATTTCGTTTTCGTATTAGTATTTACAAAGACGTCT